CACTTAACTGGCCTTTCATTGTGGCTATAATTCTGTTACCTCCTGATTGCCCCTGGCCACTTCCCACCCTTAATCCTACCTAGACTCCATTCTCCCCTCACAATGGTTTAGGTGTCTGGTCTTCTGTTCACCCCAGCTTACTGGCCACTCCCATCCACAGCCTCCTTAGACATCTCCTCCAGTCACCCCAGGCCACTTGGTCACTCCTGGATCCCTCCCACAGTCTTTCATTTTATATCAGATTCATCTAGTCTCCATTAAGGTGCTCAGATTCTTTGAGTCTAGCCAAGGGCCCAGATTCTTAAAATTTGGCCTACTTGCATTAGAGATACAAATGCTTAGACTCCTTAAGAGTCTGGCCAATATGGCTGATCTGTATTTTAGAAGGCTTGGATTGAATTCATTCGAGCAGGACTCATGTGTTGTGATTTTGGTGTCACAGCACCCCTAAACCTCTAAACCTGAACAGGGATACACTAGAACCTTTTCCAATAAATACAGGAGTAAAGCAAGATTGCCCATTCTCTCTTCTATTATTTAATATAGTTCTGGAAATACAGCAACCGTAACAAGACAAGAAGAAGCAATAAAGATAGGGAAATAGGAGATAAAACTATCCCTATGTGCTGATATATAATGGTACATTTGGAAAATCCTAGAGAATCAGTAAAGCCACTAAGTCAATAGCTTCAGTGAACTACAAAAGAAATCCTCAACAATCAACAGAATGTCTATAACAAAACCTAAGAAACAATAATAGAAAAATTTCATTCCAAAATTCATAAAATGTCTGGAATCAACCTACCAAAGACATATAGATTTGATTACAAAGTGTTCCTTAAACAAATAAAAAACAACTTAAATAGTACCTGGGGGAATATTCAGTGCTTGTAGGCCATGCCAGTAGAATTAAAATGACAATATTTCTAAGATAAACTTATACTTTTAATGCTGTCACTCAAATTATCAATGGGATACTTTATAGAATCTGATAAAATAATAACAAAATTCACTGGGAAAAACGAAAATCTAGAATCTCAAGGAAAATGATGAAAATAAGTAGCGATGAATGAGGAATGCTATTCCCAGACCCCCAACTACATTATAAGGCAGTCATCAAAACCATCTGGTATTAATTAAAAAACTTAATTGCCAAATTTAACGGCCTTTTCTCAAACTTCATCCTTCTCTGACCTCTATGCAATCTTTGAAGTATCAATCACTTGCTTCTCCTTGTGTGAGATAGATGAAGTTTCCTCAGTACTAAAACTCATAAACTCCTTTTGTACCCCCAATGCAGTAAAACTTGATGAATCTGCAAGTATTTGCTGTGCATTAAGCAAGAGCTAATCCGTGCTCCAATTCCTCTAGCAAGGTAAACATTGCAAAAGACTGCTAGCCTGACCTCCAGAGGCTTCCTGCTTATCTGTCTTTAGGCAGAACTTCTAAATGGTTATCAAAAGTCCTCCTGATTCTTTGTCTCTAGGAAAATATTTCCAAATGAGGGTCTTAGAAAGCCGCATTTAGATTGTGCACCCTGAAACCCAGTCAATGGGAAGAAGGGTTCAAGAATGGGGAGGGGGTATCCCATTAGGACTATAAAACTTTGTTCCCCCCAACAGACTTTGCACTCCCTGGCTTCACTGCTTGAGTGATGAGGGCTGTGCCCTTTCTCATGAGAAAGAATAAAACCTTTTCTGATCTCTGACTCAGCCTCTGAACTTTTAATTCTAGTGTGGCTATTGTCCCACCTACCCTGGATAGTCTTTTCTCTCTAGGTTTTTAAGATACCACTTTCTCCTGGTTTTCCTCCTACCTATCTGACCCTTCTTTCTCTGTCTTCTTTGCTGGATCTCCATCCAGGTCACATCAGCTAACTTGTGGCTACTCCACAGGGCTCTGTCCTGGGCCTGATTCTCATCTCTTTCTAAACTATTTCACTTGGTAACCTGAGGATTCTCAAATCTACTTATCCAGTTATAGCCTCTATGCTGACCTCCAGTCTTCCATATCCAACTACCTAAGGGATATTACAAACTAGATCTTAAACCCAGAGAATCTTAAATTAAAAAATGCCCAGGGTCACACAAATAAGTGTCTGAGGGCAGATTTGAACTCAGGTCTTCCTGACTCCAGGCCTGGAGCTCTATCCATTATGACTTTAGATATGAGAAATATTGAGTAACATTGCTGCCCCCCCCCCCCCCCCCCGAAAAAACCAAACCAAAACAAAAACAAAAACAAAAACAAACCTGATACATTAATAGACATGAGTTGTTTTCTAATCAGTTCTGTATAGCCAGACCATCATATTGTTAAAATAAAGATCAAGCTTAGTATCAAATTAGAATGAAAAAGGGAAAAAGATATGGTTTATAATTACAACTCCAACCCAACTTACACGATCTACTGATGCTTAAAATTCAGAAACAGAAAAAAGAATAGACAGATAGACTATTACCATTTCCCAGAAAGTTTAAATATAGCTTCCTTCCAATGGAAAAATATGGCAGCCAAGGACAACACTCAGAATTATGATCATGGAAAATTATAAACAGTATTGCTTCATAAAACAGGAAGAAGTAGAAAGAAAAAAAGAAAACTAGCTTGGCAAGATATCCAATTAAGCCAAATCATCCTAGAAATATTTAAGGATGAAAACGGAAGATGAAAAACAGACAAAATAGAGGAAAATATGATTACTATAACTAAAGCAACCATTCTCTCTATCAATTATGGGGCCAACACATATGGAATCTAACATCCTAGTACACAGATTATATTCTAATACACAGTATGAGGTAGTAGAAATGACCACAAAGACAAAAACAAAGGCAGGAAGATCACTTGGACTAGACCAAGCATACTCACAGGTCAATCAATCAATAAACATTTATTAAGTATCTACTGTGTGCCAGACAATAAGCAGTGGGATACAAAAAGACTCAATAGAGAGGTGAGGCTTGTTGTCAAACCAATGCAATTTTTAGGATGCTAAAGAATCAATTCTTCAAACCTGTTGGAATGCACTTGCTTAAAAGGGGGGTGTGTGTGTGTGTGTGTGTGTGTGTGTGTTTGTCATCACTTATTTCCGATGCAATGAGAGGTAACTTATTTATTCTAACAGATATCCCCACTCTTTCAATTATTTTCAATCTCTCCTCCTCCACTAGCTCATTTCCTACTATACACAAATATGCCCATGTCTCCAGCATCCTTTAAAAAACCTGCACTTGATCCTTCCATCCCTGCTATCAATCTATTTCTCTTCCTTTTGTAGCTAAACTCCTCAAAAAGAAATGCTCTACACTCACTCTCTTCTTAATCTCTTAAAATCTGTCTTCTGATCTTATCATTCCACTGATACTGCTCTCTCTCCAAAGTTACTAATTATCTCCTAATTGCCAAATTGCCAAAATTGTCTTCTCTCAATCCCAGTTCTCCTTGACCTTTCTTCAATCTTTGACACAGTTGATCACTCTCTCCTCCTAGGTTTTCAGAACACCATTCCCTCCTGGTTTTTTTCCTACCTATCTAACACTTTCTCTCTCTCCTTTCCTGGATCACACCCTCTAACCCCAGGTGTCCCTAAAGGTTCTGTCCTGGGTGCTCTTCTGTTCTCCCTCTACACTACTTCACTTGGTAATCTCATCACCTCCCATAGATTTAATTGCCATCTTTATGCCGATAATTTTCAAATCTTATCTTTCTTGCTCCAATCTCTCTTCTGACCTTTAACTTCAAATCTCCAACCACCTTTCATATATTTCAAACTGGATGTCCAGTAGGCATCTTAAACTCGGTATGTCCAAAGCAGAACGCATTATTCCCTTCCCCTTCTTCCTGTAAATAGCAATACCATCCTCCTAGGCCCTCAGGCTTACAATCAAACAGTCATCCTCAATATATTTCAACTCCCATGTCCAAACCGTTGCCAAGGTCTGTTTATTTCATCTTTGCAACATCTCTCCAATATGCTGCTTTCTCTTCTCTGACACTGTTACCACTCTAATGCAAGACCTCATCAGGTCATGTCTGGATTATTGCGATAGTCTGTTCATGGGTCTGCCTGCCTCAAGTCTCTCCCCACTCCATTCCATTCTCCACTGAGTCACTAAAGTGATCTTCCTAAAATTGGAATAAGACATTCCATCTGGACATTTTCTCCAGCCATCCTGGGATGCTCATCCTCCTCAACTCCCACTACTGACCCACTGTCTATTGGAAGCCTTCACTAGTTAACCCCTCTTAATTCTCTCTTTTAATTATTTCATATTTATCCTGTGTAGCTTACTTGTGTATGTTTGCATGTGGTCTCTCCAATTAGACTGTAAGATCCTTGAGGGCAGGGACTGTCTCTTGCCCCTTCGTATCCCTGGCGCTTGGCATATCACCTGGCACACATAAGGCCTTTAATAAATGTATATTAAATTGAATTACTCAACACCACAAATTTACTTTCTTGGGATACACAATCGTTGAAGAGCATCTTACATATTTCTGAAATCCTCCCACTCCCTAAAACATATTGTTAAATCACTGTTATTCAAAGTAATACAACCAAATCAGATCAAGTAGAATCAAGATGAAAGAATTAAACATTTTGATCGTAAAATGTTACCTCCAAGTGAGCAGCTAAGTGAGGTGTCGTTATCTTAGCAGGGTCTTTTTTCATCTGCAGCCACATAGAGGAAAAGCCCCTTGTCCTGATATCCTGATGTTAATTGAACCTGGACTTCTATCTTTTCTCCTCACAAAGGAATCAAAGTTAAAACTTATCCCTAGTCCATAGTCTCTCCCTCCAAGGCATAAGCAGCGCCTTCTACTTTTATCTTAGTATCTAAAAAACTGGCTGGAATGATGTGATAAATAGAAATCCTTTTGTCACTGTGCCCTCAGGGGCTAGTACTGTGGCTCAAGCATATCAAGTTTTTAATAAACTCTTGTTAGATTGTAAATAGCGATCGATCCCCTTCCCCTTCTCCTGCACGGGTACTCACGATTCCAGTAGACGGGGTAGCACTCTCCCTGGGCCACATCCACCTCGTAGAGCCCGCCTCGGACGCACACCGGCTCGATGTGGATCAGCTCCTCCAGCTCGGGCTCGCTCAGGACCGCGCTCCGGCAGTAGCCACAGGTGCTGTCCTCATCCTCGTCCCCTGAGCTCGAGGCGAGAGCCGGCTCCCCTCGCAGGGCCCGCGGCCTGTTGTCAGTCACCTGAATCAGGTTCCGGAAGGCCAGCTCAATGCGGAGAGAGTCATAGCCAATGAAGGGCTTCCAGGTCTTCTTATCTTCCTTGTAGAACCAGCGCACCTCCTCCGGGCCCAACTCGGCCACCACTTCATAGCGATGCCGGGAAGCCGAGCAGTCCGAGCGGGATCGCTTCCTCTCCCCCTGACCCGCAGTGGCCGCCACCGCACCGCCTGAGATAGAGGAGTGTAGACACGACGGCTGGGTCTGCGGGGGGATCAGCAGCGAGGAGGAGCCGCCGCCGCCGCCGCCGCCGCCGCAGCTGTCGCCCTCGCTGTAGTAGCGTAGGGAGGAGCCTGACTCGGCCGAACTGAAGTCGTAGGTCTCGTCGCTGAGGCAGGAATCCAGAGTCAAGTGATGGCTATGCTCTTCCAAGCCCTGCGCCAGTGGCAGCCCCGGATCTCCGCCCAGTAGGGCCAAGGTCACCTCGGCATCCGTCCGGTCCCCGCCGGGGAGGTGCTCGTAGCAGCATACACTACTGTAAACCGCCTCGGAACCCAGTTCCCAGGCGCTTCCGCCGCCCCGGCCGTTAGGCTCCGGGCTCAGTGGGGAGCCTTGGCCAGAGTAACTCATGGTACCAAGATGCTGCCGGCTACCTCACCTTAACACTGCGCCCCGACTCCGAACGCGTCCCTGACACATTCAAAGCTAATGTCAACGCCTTTTCCACCTGGAATTTTAAAATCTGGAAATCCTAATCGGGAACGCACAATCAACTGCGCTTCTCCGAGCCCCGCAGCAGCGAAGTCGGCAGAGGACACGTTCCCCCCAACGCCCCATTATCACGCAGACCACGTCGGGGAGGAAGTGCTCTTACTAGGCCCCCGCCCCACCGAAGGCTCCGAAGCTCCGCCTCTACTTGCGGGCGGGCTAGCTCGGTTTTGCTGGGTATAGTCTTCCCCTGGCCTGATTAGTCACCATGGCTACCAACACCACCCTCTCCTCCATTCTCTTCCGTCACCAAGGCCTTGTTTCCTTCACTCTTCCCACATGCCCCATCAGGGACCTTTATCCTGAATGGCGAAGGAAGCGGTATTGTAGGAAGAACTAAACTTTGTCAGCTCTCTGTAGCTCAGTAGGATTAAATAAGGCTGGCTTTGTACGGAACAAACCATTTGATTCATTTCTAGAGAGAGGCTCCATGCCCACTTCCCACACTGAGACACTCCATTCTTCATTCAGAGTCCTGGAAGTGCTCTGATGTCCTCTATTCCAGCTCTTGGAATGCACTTCAATTCAGTTTAACTTCATGTCGAAAACCCGATTTGAAACTAGCTCTTTTCAGCACTTGTTTCATGCGTCCTTTAACATATTGCTTTTTTTTTTTTGCTTTTTTTTTTTGGTGAGGTCATCAGGGTTAAGTGACTTGCCCAGAGTCACACAGCTAGTAAGTGTTAAGTGTCTGAGGCTAGATTTGAACTTAGGTCCTTCTGACTCCAAGGCCAGAGCTCTATTCACTGTGCCACCTAGCTGCCCCCAACATACTGCTTTTCAAAATTATTTATTTTTAATGTATAATGTATAACCCAATTAAGTACAGGGAATTAGAATGTCTAAAAGTGGACTGGACTGCCTTGTGAGTTCCTTATCATGTTAGTATAAAAATGTAGGCTGGACGACTACTTGCCAGGGATGTTAGTCAAAGAGCATTTATTAAGTGCCCACTATATGGCAAGGCACTGTGCTAAGAACTGGTGATACAAAGAAAGGAGAAAGATAATCCCTGTCTTTGAGGAGCTCACAGAGAAAACAACAAGCAAACAATTAAGTGCAAATGAGCTATTTACAGGATAAATAGGAAATAATTAACAGAGAAAAAGCCCTGGAACTAGGAGGGACTGGGAAAGGCTCCTGTGGAACACAGGATTTTAGTTGGAATTTGAAATAAGTCAAGGAAGGCAGAAATGGAGATGAGGAAGGAGAGCATTCCAGGCTCAGTGGACATCCCAAAGCCAAGAGATGGAGTGACAAGTTTGTGGAACAGCAAAGAGGCCAGTGTTACTGGACTTTGAGTGGGAGGGGAATGTAGAAATGGAATGAATAATGAGTTTACTAATCACTTTGATTTGCTTGAGCACCCTTATTATCCAGGAGAGAATGAAATTAACCTGGGAATCAAAATCAGCCGATTAGGAGGCAGAATGAGTGGTTTGACATATCAGTGATCTTTTGTGGTATCCACTAAGTGAACCTGGAACACCTCTTCTGTGTCAGCAACCACAGGGCTGTTCAAACCGGTTCATGCCAACCCCAAAGGGACAGAGCTTGCACAAACATCCTTGTTCCCAGTACTCTGTATTTTTCCTATTCTCCTGCTTTCCTTTGTTGTAAAACCATGTATAAAAATACCCAAACTTTGAAGCAGCAGATTACATTCTGCTGTTTCCCGTGCACATGTGCTGTACTCACCAATAAATGCTCCTGGGTTTTGCACTTGAACCGTGCCTCTGTTCCCTCTGTTCAGGTGCATGCTGTGCCCCAATTAGTCAAATTTCCAATTAATCAGGGATAAAGTGTAAAAAGACCGAAAAGATGGGGATGCTAGATTATTAAGGGCTTTGAACCCCGAACAGAGGATGTTGTATTTGATCCTAGAGATGATGGGGTGCCACAAGAGTTTATTGATTGAGGGAGCAGGTGGATTATCATGGTTGGAATTGCATTTTAGGAAAATCACTTTGGAGGCTGAATGGAGAATGGATAGAGTATAAGGAGAGACTTGTAGCAGGTATACCTACCAGCAGGCTCTTGTTGTAGCCCAGGTATGAGGTGATGAGGGCTCAAACCAAGATGGCAATATCAGAGGAGAGAAGCAAGTAGCAATATCAGAGGAGGGAAAGGAGTGTATTGGAGAGATATTGCCTTGGCCCCAGATTGGATATGGAGTATGAAAGATAGTGAGGAGTTGAGTCTGACATATAGATTGTGAGTCTAAGGGACTAGGAAGATGGTGGTGCCCTCAACAGTAATAGGGAAGTTTGGAAGGTGGGAGGATTTAGGTGGAAAGATAATGTTTTGGATGTTTTGAGTTTAAAATTTCTCTCATACATCCAGTTTGAGATGTCTGAAATACAGTTAGATATGTAAGACTGGAGGTCAGCACAAAGTTTAGAACTGGTTAGGTAGATTGAAAATCATCAGCATAGAGATGATAATTAAATTCATTGGGGCTGATGAGATCACCAAGTGAATTAATATGGAGGGAGAAGAAAAGAGGGCCTAGAGACCCATGGCATTTTGCAAAGGAGGTTCCTATTCAGACACTAATTGGACTAAATGGTCCAAGGTACCTCTAATTGAAAGTCTGTATCTTCAGAATTCCGTGCAGTGTCTTACATACAGTGGGTATTCAATAAATATTTATTGATAGTGATGATCAAATCCAAACTAAATCACTTATAATCCTTTCCACTTCTTAAGATTCTCAATTGAGTTCCTACAATTTTCCAGCTCCATTAAATTCAACTCAATATTTATTGAGCACATACTATATATAAGGTACTATGGTAAGTGTTATGCAAAATATTTATGAAGATGAACATGATAATCCATACCAAACTGATTTCATAGATACAGGTATATACACACATATATACATACACATATATCTATGCTTGCTGACAAAGGTTGCATTTGAACTGTGGCTTGAAAGATGAGTGGGATTTTAACAGCTAGTAGGCATTGGAGGCAGAGAAAAAAAGAGTGTATGGAAAAAGAAAGGCAGAAAAGTAAGTATATTCAAGGAACCATGAGCAATGCAGCTTTGGATAGATTATATTAATAGGAAGCAATTGGAAATAAGGCAGAAAGCAGATTAGAGCTAGATGAGATGCTAAGCTAAAGCAAATGAACTTTACTTGAGTGACAGTGAAAAGCCATTAAAAAAACCTGGAAAGACTTACATGAACTGATGCTTAGTGAAGTGAGGAGAACCAGGAGAACATTGTACACAGTAACAGCGACATTATGCAAAGAATAACTTTGATAGACTTAGCTCTTCTCAGCAATGCAAGGATCTAAGACAACTCCAAAGGACTCATGATAGAAAATGCTATTCACATCCAGAAAAAGAACTATGAAGTCTGAATGCAGTTCGAAGCATACTATTTGCTCTCTCTCTCTCTCTCTCTCTCTCTCTCTCTCTTTCTCTCTCTCTCTCTTCTTGTAGTTTCTCCTATTAGTTCTGATTCTTCTTTACAACATGACTTGTGTGAAAATATGTTTAATATGCATGTATATGTATAACCTATATCAGATTGCATACTGTCTTGAGAAGTGGGGAGAGGAGGGAGGGGGAGAAAATTTAGAACTCAAAATCTTATAAAAGTGAATGTTGAAAACTAAAAACAAATTAATTAATTTTTAAAAAAGAAAAAAAAGAAGAAAGAAAAGCCATTGAAGAAAATTTTTGAAAAGGAGAGTGACATGATCAAAAATTGATGTCAAGTACAAGATGAGAGTCAAAATGGCAAAGAAGCAAGCAGGAAGATATACAGCTTAACTTCTCCACCAAGACTCTTTGAACAAGGATCTAGAAAATTCACAGATTGAATTCTGATAGAGAAATCCAAGAAAAACTCACAGTGAGTAATTTTTCCAGCTCAGGGAAGCCTAGGGAGACAGACAGAGAAGTTTGTGGACACTGGGGATGGAATCTGACCAGGAACATGCCAGCTACAGAGCATTCAGGCTCCCAGGAACTAAAAGAGCTGAGACAGGGCACCAGTGCAAGAAGCACCAGGACAGGAAGAGATACTAGGTGATCCCTTACTAGCAAAGGGCATAGGAATAGGTGCCACTTGAAAGCTCTATTTCTGACTACCCTGCTCTGGGTCCCAGATAGAGAGCAAAGAGGAGTGGTTGCAGAGAAATGATTATAGGGTACTGAGACTGAATTCTGTACCAGACAAGAAATAGTAGCACTATGGCTTTGATCCCAGAAGCAGAGCAGAGACTCATTTCTAGGTTGTAGCCAGGATCCCATCATTTTGGGAGCACTGAAAGCTTGCAGACACCAATCCTGAGCTGTGAAAGCAGCAAGAGTAAGCAGTAAAAGGACAGAAGCTCAGGGCAGACTTTCCCCCAGGAAGTACACAAAGCTCCGCACCAACAAAAAAATTGTTGAAGAAATAGACTGAAAGAATGAGCAACTAAAAAAAGAATTCCACTATAAAGAGCCATACTAATGGTGACAGGAAAACTCAAGACAGAAAGACAGAGGGGAATGACTTGAAAACATCTGTAAGTAAAGCTCCAAAGAAAAATGCAGCTTAGACAAAAGTCCAACCAGAATTCCTGGGAGAGTTAAAGATGAAAAAAAAAAGTTTAAAAGTATTCCAAAAACCAAATGAGAGCAGTAGAGGAAAAAAAATATGAAAACAAACAAGATCTAGAAAAGAAAATTTTGAAAAGAAAATTAACAACTTGGAACAAGGGGTACAAAATTTTATACCAAAAAAAAAAAACCCTCCTTGAAAATTAAAATGACTAAATAGAAATTAATGACTTCATGAAACATCATAAAATACTAAGTCAAAAGTCAAAAGAATGAAAATAATAGAAGAATAGAAGAAGGTATATCATAGTAAAGACAACTGATTTGGAAAACAGATTGAGGAGAGACAGCTTAACCAGTGGACTACTTTAAAACTACGACAAAAAAAGAGCCTAGGCATCATATTTCAAGAAATCATAAAAGAAAACTTTCCAGATTCCCTAGAATCAAAAGGCAAAATAGAAATTTAAAGGATCCACTTCCTGAAAGAAACCTAAAAATGAAAATTCCCAG